AAAAAAAAGCGAATATAAAGAACCAAAAATAAGTAAAGGATCTGAACCTTTATAGGAGTGACCATAGCACAACATTCTACCATTAAATTAACTTATTGAATATAAATAATTGTACAATAGAGCTTTTAATTAAGTTAATACTTACTAAATAAAAAAGATAAATTGTATATGAAAACATAAAAACTTTAAATTTATGGATATATTTATAACAGGAATATTATTATTATAATAATATTCTTAAAATTACAAAAAATAATAATAAAAGATATTTAAAATTTATTATTATTAAAAGTTTACCAATCTTTAATAATAAGACTTTAAGGATTAACTATTGTATTTACACGCATAGTTTGACCATTTCTTGCGTTAAGATTACGCAAAAAATTTTCGTGTAATTCATTTACTCTATTTAAATCTGCCAATACTGAAATACGATCACTATTTTGACCGGCTCAATATATTTTAGGCCGGTTGTGAGGACCAAAATCTTTTCCGTTAGAAAATCCTCCTAACACACGACAAGTATACTCACTATAACCATATTTTGAACCAAAATATTTGATAGATAAAGCATCGTCGTATGTAATAGCTAATCTTGGGTTATCATGATTCATTAATTTATAAATTGCGTTTAAAAAATCCCTATGATAATTTCTATTTACATCATTTAAATAAACTCAATAATGTGCAGTAGCATCATATAATAATCCTTGTTTACCACCAGCCTGAAAAGAATCTTCAAGTCTACAGCCTCCATCCAAGTAGACTGTATCTAAGATAGGAAAACCTAAAAATAGTTTTATAGCATCAATAATATTTATTATGTCTAAACAATATATAAAATTAAAAATTAAAGAAGTAAATCTTTTAATTAAAGATTTCTCATCTTTAATATTATCATAGTTTATAGCAATTAAAAAAAGCATATTAATCAATTTTCTTATTAAAAAAATAAAAATTGCTGAATACATGTTACCCCCACATAATGAGATAAAACAAAAAAAACATAGAAATAAATTAAAAAATATAATAAATAAACTACAAATTAAAAAAATAATGATTTTTTCAAATTTACAATTTTCAACTATTTTTTTTT